TCATTGTAGTGTATTTTACATACTATATTTTAAACTATTTTCTATGATCTTTGTTCGTAATGTTTAGGTACATTTATTTTGTATTAAATCTCATGAATTTAATATATGATTCAATGTAAATATATGCAACCTGTATAAATACGTAACTATGTATAATTTTTATATTGCAGAATCACACGTCTTAACGGGCGTATTATATGTTATTATACGTACCGGATCGCGTAAACAGTGAAAAAACCGTCGAGAAGAACCATCTCCTCTTTTGAATCAAAACACAAGACTGTACCGAATCGAGGGTATCGTCCTTACAGCTCGTCACCTCGAGCTTGGTAATAACGTTTTATGGTCATACCATTATCGGGTAACCGTTGTTGCCGCGTTGTCATAACACATACGCTAAAATAATATAACCGTTCGCGGTAGATCGTCTGTGTGTTTTGCATTTTTCGTTTTGAAAATTCCTCGACGCCGTGCACGTTTTTCCGTAGCGCCACAATAGTCCGCCGAACATTGTTACACGCGGATGCAGCGTGCGCCGTCCGCGTAAAACGTCAAACCGGCCGACGTCGCCAAACGTGCCCCGGAGCTTATAACGTTCGTTATACCCGTTGCACCCTACACGCGCGATCGGCGCCCATTTGTCGAACGCTGTACGCGGCGGACAATAGGCGCAAATTTGGTTTCACGGCCAATTTATTCCGTGTCGGACATGAATCAATGGTCGCTCGCTGGTGTGCGCGCGCACAGCATTTGTTCGTCGATCGATCGGACAATTACGATCATTTTGGTGTTTGTCGACATCGGGAAAACTGTTTAAACTGCATAAGTGGCCGGTGAAAGCGAAACACGATTATTGCGCGCGCGCGCGCGTGTGTGTGTAGCATACCTTTGTACGCTTATGGACGAATGTAAATTCTCGATTACCATAATTACCGAACTGGAAAATTGTTAGCAAATATGTGTGTTTTGATTTTTATTCCAAACAGCGATTGAATATTTTCCGATTAGTTTTCGCGATGAATATAATCTCACGAAACCGTGCAAATATAGATATGCACATAGTTTCTAGTATGTGTACGGCGTTCGCGCGTAGTTTGACGACAAGACACGCTTGAATATTCCTTACGAGTTACGTAGTCGTGATTTTCATTTTTGGTCGATTATGAAACTTAATTTTTGCTACAATGGCTTCCGAGACGTTTCGGTAGTATTGTCAAACATGTCCAATACGATTTGTTGAAAAACATGATTATTTCTCATGTGCACGTGTACTTAAGTTAATATTGTATGCTTGTGTACGCGAATTACCTACTATTTCAAACACGCGTGCGCACGCGATGATAAATTTACCGTACAGAAGTAAACTCATTGTGCGAAACGTTATAGATTACGATATGATAAGCTCCTAAATCCAGTTTCCCAATCCATTGTATCAAAACTACTGACGTAAATGAGTCCTTACTATCGCACATCGAGTTTTCATTACATAAATAATAGCGTTAATATCGCATATAGAGGCGCACATATGCGGTCTCGAACATAATACGTGGTCTTAAAGATTTTCATAGTTTTATGTACTCATTGTAATGCACGTGTTGCGCAATTCGGTTGCAAATCCATCAAGATAATACTTCCATATTACAATATATGTATTAGACACGCATACAGGCGGTTATTTATTTTTTGGGGGGGGGGATTACCTTCTTCGTAATGATTGGGGCTTAAATAATTTACAATAAAGTGTATATCGTATACCTTGATTCGTGGTTATAACAGGAGAGCGATCGCACCTAACTCTACCAAATCACGTGCCTGATATATATATATATATACACCTGTTCATGTGAATATTGCCCCGTGTTAAATTAATCGCAAACACATTTGAATTACTATGATTTGCAGTAGGAACATAAAGCATGTATTTTTTTGTTACGTCGAATTCGAAAAACTGTCCTCGGACGGACTTGATACAGGATGCTAACACATATCCGGAAATAAATATCCGGTTATATCAAGCGCGAAAGTTTTATTTGAACAGTACAATTATATTTTGTACGTAAACATATAGGCTGTTCACGTTTTAACTCGTTATAATTAATAGTTAAAATATTCAAAATGCATGCATATCATTTTATCTTAACCTTAAATTAAAGTAAACGATAATTTAACGCAAATGAGATAAATAAAAATAAATAAATAAATATGGTTAAGATTCCTGATTAAAACAAAAACTTAATTAATATTTGGTTCGTTAAGAAAAATATTTTATAGAACATTATTACAATTCATCATTACAATTCAATACTGAAAATAAAATATTTTATGCATTTAATTATACTTTTCATAGTATTTAACAAAGTGATTTATTTACAGGCATTAAAAATGATCTAATGTATGCTATTAATGATAATGAAATGTAGTATTTTAAATAAGTCACATACGTATATAAGAATAAGCGTCATTTCATTTGATTCTACTGTTTACGATATTATTAGAAATAAATGAGACAGCAAAATAATTATACACCTATACAGCGTTCCGTCTTTTAAGTATATATTAGCGTGAACAGTGGTTTAATAATAAAATGAGTCCTCATTAAATTTATTTTGGTGAAGAGTTAAAACATTCTCGTGTCTTAAACAAATACTACTCACAGAGTGAGTAAAAAATATACAAATTACGTTACAGTAAAAAAAAAAAAGTTATAACAGTATACCCGTATTAAATCTGTTTTACATTAAATCTTAAAAATAGCTACAAAATTACAAATATTTACCAAAATTAACTTATTACAGTATAAGTAAATTTAATTTATCGTTATAATAATAATAATTATTATTATTATTATTATAATTATTTATTATTGATAATTATTATTTTTGAAATTATTTCAATAATTGTTTTATATAATGGAACATACATATTATACACAATACACATTGAAACTGTTACGCCTTTACTAAAAGAAACCAAAACTAAAGCAACCTTTTTATTCTAAACAGGGAAAATATAGATGTTTATCTAAATCATTACATTGTCTTTCGTCGTAAATGGATAATTATAAATATTAATCAGAGCATAAGTATATACGTACAGCTTAAAACAGTTCATGTGGCATCCCATAACACAATGCGACTAAATAATTTATATACTAGTGTAGATTGTCCTAATTTATTTCAATATATTAAAAAAATTTGCTTTATTTTAGTAGTTAGTACAAAAAACTTATAAATATATTAAAATATAAGATTTTTATTTTTCATTTAACAAATCAATATCAAGTTAACAATAGTCAAGTTTTTGGTAATTATTCCACTCTTTAAAAAATATAATATTATTTTTGTAATACAACGGCTTTTTTAAAATTTTTAACGACACTTTTTAAAGACTATTAATTCAAATAATATATAGGTTTACATAAACGTTACAACATTTTGTTCAATTATCATTTAAGAATATTTATGAATATTATTTTTGTAAATTAATCGAAAATACTAACGATATTTATTGATTTTTGATGAAGTTATAAATTTATTTAACATTAACTAATTAAACCAACCTAGAAAATAATAATACAAAGGAAGCAAAATACCCATAAACGGTAATTTTCATTACCATAAATGGATAATATATCGTCATGCCACAGTAAAAAATTTTCAAATATTTATATATATTTCTAATGCATTACTCTATATACATAAATATATAACCCGATTGGTAAATGTTCATTCAAAAAAACCTACAATTGTTTGGAGCATTGAAGTTTATTTAAAAATAAAATTACATTTATTCTCTATATTTTCCCTTTAAACTATTGAATAATGCATTATTTTTTAACTTTTTTTGGTTCTTAATTTATATTATGCTGTATATAGGATTAATACAATTATTTTTAATTAGAGTAACTGCTATTCGCTTATTATTGTTTACTCGACAGTCAATAATTTCACTGTTATCATATTATATTGCTGTGAATATCATCACAGAGTATATTAAATATTTTGAAGTATAATTAACAATTAAAACATATATTATTGTACGCATGCACATTTGTGGGAAATTATATAACGTAGAGTAACACTCCGTTTTGAAACTAAAATCAAATCCACGCTTACAATTTACAACCATAATCGCTATAGTTACCTACTTTATAGTTTTCAAAAGGCATTCCGATTGATTTTAGAAAATATTTACTACCTAAGCTAGTAATTAATTTTTCTAAATATTATATGTGTACATAAAAAATTTGATATTATTTTTAATTGAATGAGAACTACGTTAATATGAGAAATATGGTATTTTTCTACTTTAATTTTTCGAAATTTCTGATCGATTTTTATAAAGACAACGTTCCGTTGAATATAGTATAACTGATTGTCTGGCCATGCGTACACTAAGCAGACAGCTGACTCAAGCACTGTACCCATATCTTACTAATCCCTAGAGCGATTAATCCAAATACGCGATTCGTGGCACACTGTTTATCCTCGGAGTAGACGGAATCGCTCTCTGCTTGGCGCATCGTTAAAGTCTTTGTGTATAGTACCGAGCCGTTATGTCACGGAAATCCTAAAATTAACCAATTTTACGCGCACAATGTCACCATCTTTGACATCCAACGGGATATATAGGTCCATTGTTGCCAAACGGTACTTCTCGTCTACATCTTTGTCAGATCAGTCACACGAGCGCTCGTGCTACAGCGGTCAGATAGGAGTAGTGCCCGAGGGGGCCGCAGCCGAATCACGACCCAGACAACCGGTTCCCAGAGACAAACGACCGGTTTTATTTGTCCATTATTTTTATAATTATTATTATTATCATCGGGAGACCAACTTAGGTTAACGTATACGTATCATAGCCATCGGAAATTGTCAAAGTTCAAGTTTCCTCCCCCACATCACGTGCTATCCGATCCCGAAAAATGAATCACCGTGCTTATTGTCCATACGCGTAGGGTCTAATAGTTATTTAAGTAGCTATTTTACGTATGTACTCACCTTAGGTTTGTGTTTTCTTTGTCTTTCTTTCTCTCTCTCTCTCAATCTCTATCTCTCTTTCCCTCTGTCTATGTCTTCGTCGTTGTGCGGATGTATGCGCGCGCGTTATAATTATATAGACGTACGATCAGACTTGTCTCGACCAGTTGATCGTGTGGGACTCGTGTGTCGTTTTGCAAATGTTTTGATGCATTTTGCGATTCGATTACACCTGCACGGCACAGTGGTGGTCGTAGAGAGAAGGGAAAAAACACCCCGTGCGTGAAATATTCAATTTATTGTTACGGAGAACGAAAACGCGACAGCGGGCATGTCCACCGTGCGGACCAATGAATCGTGTACTGCCGGTTCGCGGACCGAATCGTGTACCTAGCTAGTGTACGCGTAAACTGCACAAGTGAACGGGTTGTTGAACACTTGTTGCCGGTGAAAGCCGGAGTGGGGCCGACCGATCGCCGCTTCTGATACAGGTCTGTTCGTGCGGTTTGATGCACAATAGCGTCATCTTGTGGTGTCGAAAAGTTCTCGTTTTCCTTTTTCATCTTGAACACACATGCATGTACGTACATTTTGTATGTATTTTTGTGTACAACATGCCGCAAAAGTGGTTTCAGTATAATACGACCACGTAAAAGAACAAAGATCCCGGGGATCTGTAACGTAATACATCTGATCGATATTTTCTCTGCGTTCGCTTCCACAATCGACTTTTTTTCTTTTTTTTTTGGTTTTAAATAAATCGTGAAACGTATATATTCATCGACAAACTGCAGGCACAAGTATAATCATTACATTACCAGTGACCGCACAAAGAAATTATCTTGATGAAACCTTCGGATTAATTTTGACTACCGAATTTCCGATCAGTGTTTTCAGCAATTATTTATTTTTCTAATGATCAACGTTTTAATTGTTTACGAATGTATACCTGTATCGAAAACCTAGAAATTCTAATACATTTTGATTTGTTATTATGCATGAATTAAATTGGGCTTATAATTATGAATCACAGAATCTATTTAACATTCTAGTTTATGACTTAAAAACTATAAAGAAATTTCATTCAAAATTACGATTTTAAACGAAAAGAGCATTAAAAAAAAGTCATAATTGTGATTTAGTAAAACATTATACAGCAGTTTATTAGGTACTTAAAGTATTAGTTATTTATATGACTGTATGTTACCTAATATACAATTTGTTATTACAAATAAATAAACAAAAGAAACGGTCACAAATCAGTAAGTTTCATTTCAATATAAATGTAACATATATATATACCATATAATAAATTCATTCGTATTGTTGTTGGGTAAAACACTGTTGGTTGGTACTATTCTTACTGACAATCTGAATATCTGATAGTGTTATATTACATACAATTTGCATGTAAGTATTTCAAAAATGATACGATTTCTTGGTGAAAGGATCTTAATGCCATTTTATTATGTAACATCCATTATAAAATTACGTGCGAGTCTGATGAAACAATAAAATAAAGCGATATTTATGGTATATGCGCTCTACTGCTGGGATAAACTTCTTTTAAGAAGACATAATGAATATGATTGTACATATTTTTTTTTTTTATCACAAAGGTCAAGTTTGAAGTTCAAGGACAATAGTTTTTTTTATGCTTTATTACAGTGATATGTAAATCAGTTGTTCTAATAATAAATATATTAAATATTATCAAGGTAATTACCACGTACCTATCTAACTTTTATGTATATAAAAACAAAACCTCTATGTATACTTCACGTTTCTGAAATTTGCGAATCCTATGGAACTATATTTGAAGTCAGGGCCGGCGAGAAATTTTGAGAGTCCTGGGGCTGATCGGTTCCAGATCCCCATTACTTACACTTATTTGGCCAAGATAAACATACTACTTGCACATACTCTAGTACAGCGGTTCTTAAACTTTTTTGATCGCGAAGCCTTTGAGATGCTAAAAAAATTTACAGAGCCCCAAAAACCAGAATACCAATTTTACAATTAAAAAAAAATTATGGAATTATACAATTATTGCAGTCTTGTAAAAAACAAAATTACATTTTACATTGTAGGATGTGACATGGGCACGAGAAATAATGTGTTCTCGAAACTAACGTTATGATAGCAGCTACGAGTATCTGCGATAACACATAGGTAACATTAAATCAATCGTAGACAATTATATTTCATATTTCTTGTTTTGAGTTTTGAATGTTCGATTAAAAAAAAAAAAATAGAACCAACAAAATAAAATATTATTGTCTTAGAATTTAGTTACTAAAATAAAATAATATTCTAGAAATAAGTAAAAGTATGTATTGTATTGATAAGTATTTAGTTTGTTTCTACAATTTAACTTGTTTAGTTGTATGTTAGTCTTTAACGGTTAGAGTCTAACCTAATGGGATTTGTAAATTCAATAAAATTTGCATATAAAAATGAACAACGCTATAGACTCGCGTTACAGTAAAAAAGTTTGTTGAAGGTTGTTTTCCAAAATTAAAAAAAAAAAATACTACTTGGCGAATTTGAAATCGAAAACAAAGCTATCATCTTCATATACCGACAATATTGCTAACGAACAGGTAATATTATAATATTAAGAATATTTAATTATTAATACGTGATAATTTCTCAACAATGTGCGATCGCCGTCGTAAATAAAAATATTGTTGTACTTTACGGATGCCGGCGGTTGCATGGCAGTCAACGTCTTAAGAAGAAGACAATAGAAATACTGTAGCTTAACTCGAAGGTAATCAAATAAAAATAAGAAAGACATATTATATTAAATGTTAATACTTGATGTATATTTTATTTTTATTTTAAAATTCTGTAGTTTCTGTGATTTTAGATTGTTATCGTAAACCGTAGATATACGAGTAGGAATTCGTAATGTGGATGATAAGCGTTCGATTGCGGTGGCGCGATAACAAAATACACTAACGTTAATATACTTCTCACACATTGATACAGCTCAAATATTAATGTTATGCGAAATGCTTAACTATTACTCATTAAATCATGCTATGCTCCAACCTCCATGTATATTCTTCGTCGGCAATAGTTCAAAATTGTATAGATAGGTTTTGTGAACTATTTGTTTCGATTACCAATAAACTAAATCTTAGATTTATTAGCACTATCAATTTTGGATTTTATATCTCGATGGTATTCGACGGATCTAATTAGTTATTATATCTAATGAATCTGTTTTGGTACATAGTGTATTATTGAATTGCAGTTGATGTACAATTTTTTTTGCCCGTAATTCAATTTTTAACTATGACTTTATAAATGAATAAATATTCGATGGAGACATATTTGAAGCGATTTAAGCCTGAAAATAAAAATTCATGTACAATTATTATTAATTTATTATGCAATCAATTAAATATTATATATTAACGCCTGATTACAGAAATTGTGGCTCTTAAACCTTGAATAATAACTTACACCAAATTACTTGAACAGTTCAAATTCATCTGTTTATATTTTCAAATTTAATCGAATATATTTTACACTTCATTTATCATGGATATTTTTATGACCTGACGATAGTAAATTAATTTTTAGTAATTACCTTATTATGCCTTGAACAAGGTCTACATACTGTTTTAAACGAAAAATGATTTACTCAACGCTTATCTAAAGTCAACGAAATGTCGTGAACACTATCAACCTTCGGTCAGTACATAAATAAATTTTAGTTTACTCATGAACTGGCACAATCAGCATCGATACTCGAAAGTAACTTTTATGCATATTGTGATAAGTCTACAAATACGAGTAATAATTCATATGGTCATATGAATTATACAGTTCTTAAAAAGTAATTTCTTAAAATCATATTTTACTTACAACTTATTATTCTTTTCTACGGTGAATTAAAAATTTGATTTACAAAAATATTATGATGAATTCTTTATATTTCATCATTTGTGCAGAAATGTACTGCGTCTAACAAACAAACTTGTTTTTAACAACAATGTTTCTATCGACATTTCGTAAAATTGCTTGACTAAATTAGAAACGCAGTAATTTTTTGAGTGGTCGACCCGAGAGTACAATAGCAAACTGAGCAATAGCCATTCGTACTGGAGTTACTCGATATATTTGAATTTATAGAGTTTGGAAAAATGAATCGCCTAACCAAAACTTTTTCAATCATTTATCTGAGATGACAACATATCTCAACGTTTTAAAAATGTTAAATAATTTTTAATAAAATGTTTGTGTATACAATAGTAGTAGTTTATAATTCTTATAGTGTTATGTTAGAATAGCAAAACTATGGGTGTGCGCACGGGGGGAAGTGTACCGGTGCACCCCCTGAAACGTTGTAAATGAAGACCAACAATTTAAGTCTAAAAATAAGGAACCTGGATTTTAAATAATTTTGTTGAAATTAATTTAATTGTATTCTTAAATATTTGGTAAAAAATCAATTATATTTCGAAATAGAAAAAATAAAACTCAATTTTTTAAATTCTCTTGCAAAAACTTATTATGATAGTATAACAGCTACAATTGACTGCAAAATTACAAATCGTAAATAACTGAAGAAAATACATGAAACTCAAGGAAAACATATTCATTGGGACTAAAGAAGGGCCTACATTAGGATAGTACTCATTCGAGTCACTAAAGAATGTTATTAAAGTAATTGAGTACTAAATTGCGTTAAGTAAGTGTCCATACACAGTACAATAATATGATTAGTACTAATGTAATAACTAGGTTGGTCATCGCTATCAGCACTAGTCACAAAGTATATTTTTTCAATTCTATCAATGTATTTTATTATTTTTAACTTTTTTTATAACGTTAGCTGTTGTTGTTTTTTGAATTAAAAATGTGTTTAGAAGTTTGTAGTATAAATTTGTATAGATACCTATAGCCTATAGCATTGATTCTTAATCTTTTCTTGGTCATGGACTTCTTTAAAGCATAAAATATAATCACGGACCCCCTTCAAAAAAAAAATATATATATACATAATTTTTATTATACGGTGACGGGTAAACAGAAGTGATAGGTTTCCATATTAAATTGAAATGCTCGTTAGATTGTATTGCCATGTTATATTATTTTACGATTACGATAACTTTATATGGCATATAAGATTGTCGTAATCTAAGTTGTATATTTAAAAACATTGTTGTCTTTCACGTGACTTTCAAATGTTTCAACAATTATAATTATCTTAAAAACGCTATCTAATCATATTTATTTTTGGCTTATTTCAAAAAAACTCATAACCACCCCGTGGACCCCCGAGTAACCATCTACAAACCTCCAAGGGGTCCATGACCCCGGGTTAAGAACCTATAGCCTATAGGTTATATTATATATACGTATACAACATTTTGCATAGTATATATTATTTATATTTACTACTATTTATATTAAATGGA